CTCTCTCTCTCTCTCTCTCCCACTCTTTCCCACTCTCTTTCTCTTTTTTTAATTTTGCGTTATGCTTTTGTCAGATTTAATATTTTTTTTTTTTTCAATGTTAAAATTTTTCTCCTCTTCCTCCTCCGCCTCCTCCTCTCCTCCTCGTTTACTTTTCCCCTGGCTATACGATTTCGACTTGGTGAATCGAATCGTGGCAATAACAATAACGTAGTACGTGGCGGCAATTAGAGGGAAATAATTCATTGTGATAAAATCAAATTGTTCGATCACGACTGGATTTGTCGTTTTAATTTCCTGGCTCCTTCAAATTTCGACAAAAAAAAAAAATTCTCGTATTTTTTTTTAACTCATTACAATGATTACGTTGTAGTTAATGTTATTATTATTATTATCATTTCATATTCACGTGCACTAAAAAATAATAATAATAATAATGAAAAAAAATTTTTTTTTTTGGAAATTATTTTTTTTTATTTTTTATTCGTGCGAATTGTAGTCGTAATTGTAATCAAATCTTTCGTATAATTAACCTCATAAACTAAACATTAAAAAAAGAAATCCATAATAATAATAATAATAATAATAATGATTTATAACGTTCGAATTTTCATATCAAAAGAAAGGATTTTATTTACAGAAAGGGAAAAACTACTCACGTCACTACAATTGTGAAAAAAAGTAGATGAATTTAATTTTTTATTAAATTAACTACAAGTTTAAATGGGGAGGAAGGGGGGGGGTTGACACTTTATTCTTTTTATTGTAGTCGAATCAATTAAAACCGGTTGATTTTTTTGTCGTGTGAGTGGGGAGGGGGGTAGTCGATATTGTAGTAACATCTTTTCAATTATTTAACTACAATTTATTATTTAAAAAAAAAAAAAAGTTTTTGTAATTACCAAATGAAATATTTAATTTAATTTTATTATTTTATTTTATTACCTCGAGTAATAATTTTTTTTTGCTTTTGTATCGGAAATTTGACCTTGAAATCGATTATAAAGGAAAAAAAAAAAAAGGAAAAACCTTTGTCTGATATCCTTTATAATGAATCACACTCCGGGAGGTGCAAAAAAAACGTTCACATTGTTTTTTATTTATTTATTTATTAATAACGTAATTTATTAATACATAACAAAAAAAATTAAATAAAATAAATAGAACAAGGTATGGATGTCATTGATAATAATTTCTACTTCTTCTTTTTTTTTATCCTGGAGAAAAATTTTTTTTTTAAATAAAATTTTATATCCAGGATAAATTGTATTGTTATCGTATTAATTATAAAAGGCCTTGATTGAGAATTACTTTAACGACAACAACAAAAAAACCCGCACGCACACCCGGTAACTTGTTCAATGTTCATCCATTTTGTTTTTTTATCCAGCGATCGAGATAATAATAATAATAATAATAAGAAAACTACAACGTCGTCGTTCCGACCTTACATTCTAAAAACCTCGCTCTCATTTATTATATATTTAAAAAAAAAAAACAATGTTTACGAAACTATTATTATTATCATTATTATTTTTATTACTCGAAGTTTTAATAATAATAATAATAATAATAATAATGACAACGGATGTATAAGTTAAAGAATCGTACGAATGAATTATTAATTTCGAAGTCGTTGAATGAATTTTTCGTAAATCGTAACATTGAAATGATTATTATTAACATAATTTATTCATCGTTATTATCATCATCATCATCATCATTATTATTATTATTATTATTATTATTATTATTATTATTATTATTATTAATATTTTTTTTAAATTAAAATAATTAAATGGAAAAATGAATAAAATTTATTTTTTTTTGAAATCGAAGATTCGCCGCGACTCGAAATGTTTTCGATTTCATTTTTTTGTTATTTTGTTTTGTTTTTTTTTTTTAAATCGAGTGATTACGTAATCGATGAATTTATCGATCGATTCATCGATCGATCGAATTTATTTCGAGAGAAAAAAGAAAAAATAAGACAAACGAATCGTTCGATATCGTAATAAAAATTAAATATTAGAAAAAAAAACACTGGGAAAATCGTCGCGAAACGTTTACATATATTTTTATATTAATAATAATATTTTATAATAATAATAATGATTTCAATAAGAGAGAAAAAAAATCTTATTAACCTATGGAGGGAAAAGAGAGAGAGAGGAAGAGAGAGAGAGAGAGAGGTGATATCATTAAATCTTCTGTCGTAAACAATTTTTATAAAAAAAAAAAATTTCATTGAGTAAAAAAAAATGTGCAGTAGTTGATCACGTGCTCTCATAATACGGTCTTTACTACATCTGCGCAAAGTTCAAATTAAAAAAAAAAAAATTTGTTTGTTTCGGATATAAATAAATAAATTTTAAAAAAATTCTGTCGTCGACATTTTTTTTTTCTTTCTGTTTTAATTCACTTATTTAATCCGTAATCTTTAAAGGTAATAAATTAAATCATTTGACGGTCGATACTTAATTATTATTTATATAAAATATATAGAATATCATTATTGCAATAATCATCATCATCATCCACGCACTTGTCGTCTCAGTAAAATATGCGAAACATTCACATAAACGCATAAATAATTACGGGTGGTGACGGGGGAAGGGAGGGAAAGGCGGGAGTAAAGGATAATAATTATAATCGCTACCGATTCGTATAAAGTCTATCATCATTATTATTATCATTATTATTAAAACTTAATAATAATGTTTTCATAAAGTTATTATTATCGTTATTAATAATTTAATTGTCTCATTAAAAAAATAAAAAAAGAATTAATGCGCTTATTAATTTACATAAATAAATGCATAAATAAAACGTGCGTGAGTGCGTGAATGCGTGTGTGCGTGAATGCGTGAGTATATCTCGAAAGCGCTCGTGTAAAAAATAAAAAAAAAAATTTTTAAATAATGAGATAATAATGATATTATGCGTTGTTGTTATCATCGTTTGATAATGAGAGAGAGAGATGTCCGTCGTTTGTGTGACATTTCATAACAAAAAATTATGTATTTTTTTTATGTATTATTAATAATATATCGAATTTAAAAAAGCCACGCGTTTTTTGATATATATACGTCACAATCAAATTAATTAACTTATTAATTATTATTATTATTTTTATTAATGTTAAAAACTAATAAAATAATTAATCGTGATAAGAAAATTCTAAAAAAAAAAAAAAGTCGTTAAAAAAATGTTTTTACAACAACGTAATTAATTAATTTTTTTTTCTTATTGTTTATAATATTATTATTATTATTATTCTAAATTTCAAAATGGATTCCCAAAATGGAAAATTGTTATCGTCTTCTGCTTGAAAAAAAAAAAAAAAAAAACAAATCGTTCGAGGAAAATTTTTTCTTTGAGTTTTGTTGACCCCTCGATTGTTGTAAAGTTATTTTTTATTTATGTACCTACCTTATCACCCCCTCCCCTCCCCCTACTTCTTTAACAATCGACCGTTCGTAATTTGAACGGTTGACAAACCACCCTTTGTTTTTTTTTTTTTCCTTTCCTTTTAGCGGGAAAACCCTTCATTACGTCACATAGTAGTTTAATCATTCTATTGATATTCCGTTTGTTCATTTTTCATTTCTTCCCATTCGATCCGATTTTACTTACTTAGGTCTTTACACGTGAGAGTGAGGGAAACGTAATTGTTTTGAAAAAATCTTAGGGGTTGTTTGTATCGTTTGTATTTTCGTTTCGTATTTTGTATCAGGGTATTATACGAAAGTTGTCATTAGATTTTTTAAACGATTTAAAAACCCTTTGTTTTGATTTGTTTTGTTTTCATCATTGAATAATTAGGTGAACGTTTCAAACGAGTGATTTTTTAGTAAAAAAAAGAATAATTAACGAACGTAAAAACCAAAGAACGCGTGTATCAAATGTTTACAATAGATTTTAATAAAATACGATTTGTAATTATCATTTCCGGTTTATAAATGTCTAAATGACAGGTTAATTAATTTTTTAATAAGTTTTTTTTCTATATATAATAAAAATAAATTTAAATTAATTTATCGACGATTTAAATTTTTTTTTTTTTTTTAAAACGGGAACGACAGAGAAGAAAGTTTTTATTTGGAAAGGGGAGAGGAGGGGTGGGAAGAAGGAGGGAGGTCGTGTGGTAAAGCCAGAAAAATGATTAATGGCGTTCGAATGGTGGTTTAAAAAAAAAATTAATTTGGCAGCACCGAATTTTCCTTTTTTTTTTTTTTGGTGTTGTTGTCGCACATGCAATTTTTTTTACGTTTTGCCATTTTATCCGGTTAGGGAAAGAAAAAATTACGGAAATTTTTTTTTTTTGGGAAACAGGGAGGGTCCTTGCCTTTTCACGAAAAAAATTTAGAGGAGGGGAGGGGGTGGGTAAGGGATTTAGGTGATGATAGAATTTTTTTTTCGGACCGCCCCGGGAAAATTTTATTTTATTTTACTTTTTTTTTGGTAGTAGAGAAAAACCACAATTGAATCATTTCCCGTAGGAATTGTATAGACAAAAACTTTTGTCACTCGGGGCAATTTCCTGTCCTAAGAACCGTTGGAAAGCTTTGACCGGGACTGATGAAGATATTGTTCGAAATGGATTTTATCATTGCGTTTTTTTTTTTGTGTGTGTGTCCTCAATTTTCATTGGAAAGAAAAACTTTTTTGCTTTTTAATCAAATCGGCGAAGCGTTTTCAGCAGTTTTCTAAATACAAAAATATAAAACGTTTTGAGCCCTTTTTTTTGAAAACAAAAAAAAAAAAAAATTATTTCGGACTTTTATTTTGAAATGAGAAGTAATGAAAAGAATTGAATAAATAAAATAAAATAAAATAAATTTTTTCCCCAGTCTCACCCTCCCCTCTTTCCTCCTCCCTCCCCGATTTATTTTTATTTTTTTTCTTTTTCACTCGTCGAAAAATTCGCAGTTAAAAATTTGCTTACGTGACGTCATCAAAATTTTTTTTTTTTTTTTTTTTTTTATCTTTTCAGAAACATGTCATCAAAGCGGAAGTCTCCGCCGACGAAGTTGCAAGAAGGTAACGCATTATCGCCAGGTCAGTTGTCATCATCGAACGCGGAAGAAAACGCAGACGGAACGTCGGGAACGCCTTTAAAAATGGCCGCCACGTGTATCGCGACATCGGGAGTCGATCCCAACAGTGAGGGGGGTGTGATGTTTTCGGACGTTGATGAAAACAGCAGCGAGGGAAACGAAGACGTTGATAATTACGTAGGTAACTCGGACGCGAATAGGCACAGACAAATAAGTTTAAAAATAAAAGACAATTCGAACGGTAAGGACGCGAGAGAAAATTATGGGAAAAATACAGAGAATTACAACAACAATTCGGAAGAAAACAACAGATCTTGTTCGGTATCGTCGAGATCAATGTCGGGCAGTGATTCCGATGACAATTCGACGATATCTCCGAGAAGGAGGAGAAAAAGGAGAGCGTCGTCGAAATCCCCGCCGACGGAGAATCACTCGCCGCCAATCCTCGTACCTCCTCAACAATCCTCGGCTGTTGCTCTATGGAATTTACAACAGCAATACGAAAGGTTCTATCAAACGGCAAATCACGTTCTCGATGGTGGTAACGCCGAAAGCCAAAGAAGAAGATCTTCCTCGGAGTGTAACTCTCCCGTATCCAACAGTGAAAAACATAACAATAACAACAATAATACAATTAGTAACAACAACAATAATAATAATAATAATAATAACAACAACAATAACAATAACAATAGTAGTAGTAATAATAACAATAGTGGACATTTGAAGCGGACAATGGATGATGTATTAAAGCGATTAACTTCTAAAATGAATAATAGTTCAGTGAGAGAAGATAAAAGACCGACCCCAACATCAACACCAAACAGTAAAAACAGGTGAGTTTTACTCTTTTGTTCACCACGGATTCTCATGCTCGTGGGGTTGGGGGGGGGAGAGGGAGCAGGATAAAAAAAAAATTTTTTTATTAGTTATCGGGCTTCCGCCCTTGTTTTTTTCCCTCCCCTCTCTCCTCTCACGCATATCAATCCGCAATAATCATCATCATATCATGTATTGCTGGAACCCCTTTTAAAATTCACCACCACCAACAACCTTTCACAAAAAAAAAAAAATGAACAAAACGTAATCGAAACTTGTTGAACGATATTTGTACTATGTTTTTTTTATGCCTTTCTCTCTCTCTCTCTCTCTTTTTTGTTATTCATTGAATAAAAGATTTTTTTTTTTTTAAACAAACGCCGACGCAACCGACTTGGACCATTCATCATGAAAATCGAAACCAATTATTTTAAAAGTGACCGAATCAGGGGAGAAAACTTTCTTTTTTTTTTTTTATTTTTTTTTTTACCATTACCCATTTTACACTAGAGAAAAAATTTACGACTTCGATAAAAAAATATGTAGTAAGAGGAAGAAAGAACGTAAAAAAAAAAAAAATTGGTAAAGAGGAGAATGAGAGAGAGAAAGAGAGAGAGAGAGAGAGAAAGTGAAAGAGTGATGAAGTACTGGATTGGGATAGGCCGAATGTATAAAAAAAAAATAATGATAATAATAATAAAGGGAAATGGGAAAACGGGAGGAGGAAGAAACAAGAGGGAGGGGCGGGGGCGGAGGGGGGTGAAAAAGGGGCACACAGGAAAAGCAGACGATTAAAGAACTCTCACGAGGCCATTGAATTATTAAACTACTTTTTATATTCTTCTTTTATCTTTCTTTTATTCACTTTTTTCTTTTTTTTGCCGACGCAAAAAAAAAGGAAAAAAAAACACTTAACATGGATTCTCGGACATTTTCTCCATCATCATTATTATTATTATTATTATTGTTTTAAACGATTCTATTAATAATAATAATAATGATAATCCATGACAAATAATTATTTATCTAATTAGCATTCGAAAAAATTTTTTTCCTCATCACGATTTTCTTTCCGTTTCCGCTTTTCCCTTCCCTTTTTTGAGATTGAAAAAATGAATGTAATAGTAATAATGATGATAATAATATTTATCACATCAAAGGCGCGAGAATAATTTTTTTCCTTTGTGAGAAAGAAAAAAGGAAAAAAAAGTTGGAAAAAAGTTTTTTTTTTTTTTTTCCTCACCACAAAGGAAACCAAGGGAGATGAAATGTGAGTGTCTTCTGCTGTTTATAAAGCGTCCATCCAATATCCATTTCCATCACGTATTTAATATTCATGGACGGTTATGAAAATAACAAAAGAAGATAAAAATGGAAAAAAAAGATGATGATGATGATGATGATGATGATTTTAACTCAGATGAATCTGTTGCATTATTCAGTAAAAAAAAAAACAATCCGTTGACCCCCATTCGGATAAAAATGGTTTTGAATAAAACATATACATTTGTTTTGTTTCCCCCCTCCCTCCCTCCCTCTCTCCTCCCCTTTATCGTGTCACCATGTTATCGTTATCGGCGGCAAATTATTTGAAATCAAAAAAAAAAAAAAAAAAAACAATGATTTTGTGTTAGACGTTTAAAATGGTCCGATCGTAAAAGTAAACAATTAATGACGTCGACTCAATTTTTAATAGCCTTTTTGACATTTGACATTATTGCATGTACATTTGATCGTTTATAACTTTTTCCTTGTGTTTATAATTTTTTTTTTTTTTTCCTTTTTTTTTTCCTCCTCACCATCATCATCATCATCATCGTATTTTTCTTCATTTCCCTTCATTGTCTTATTTTTTTTTTTTTCTTGTTTCCCCTCCTCGTGCCACTCACGTGGGTTTCGATAAATTCCTATTATTATTTAGCATTCGTTCGCAAAAGATTTCGTACCGAATATCATTATTATTATTATTAATTAAGTTTCGTACGCCATTTCGTGGAAATTTCTCGTCGTCGAAAAAAAAAATATTTACGCAAACAATTAATTCCGTCGCACGAGAGAAAAGAATTTTTTTTTATTTTTGGGCGTGAAAAAAAATTTTTAAAGATGACCCCCCCCACGTCTGAGATAATAAAAGGTCAAATTATAATGGTGTACAAAGTCGATTTTTAACTTGATTCTTTTCTATTGTCACGATAAATGCGTCTTATTTAAAAAAAAAAAAACAAACTTAATTATTATAACTATTATTATTATTATTATTGTAATTTTTTCACACATTTTAACGCGTTTAATTGTTACATAAATGCTGTCGTCGTCGTTGCTGTTTTTTTTTTTTTTTTTTTTTTTCCAATTGGTCGAGAGTAAATTTTGCTCAAAAATATCATTTTATCGTCGTCTGTCATATTAATTTCATTGATTGATTCGATGACCATTTGTCGTCTGCTCTCGTAAACTCTTTTTTTTTTTTTGTTTGTTTGTTTGTTTTCGTCACGTTTGGGGGGGGGGAGTTTAAAAAGGATTAAAAACAATTAAATGAACGAATTTGATTAGGATTCACACTTCTTGCTTTTTCCGTTTCCGCTTTTTACATACCTGTCAATAATGATGATGATCATTTTTTCATTTTTCCATATTAATTAAAATTTTTGTTTTTTTTTTTTTTTTTAAAGTGAGAATAGCGAAAACATGGCGTCGATAGAAGGAGTAGTTTTACAACAGGCTCTTTCCGGCGAGAGTTTTTTAGAACAGGAAAGAAGATTATCGGAAATGATACTTCACCTTCAGAAATTTCGCGAACAACTCGTTTCAAAACAGGATCAACAAAACAAGGTAAAAATAATAATGATTTTATTTTATTTTTAAAATAACAAACAAACAAACGCACACGCGAGAACGCTTGCGGCTATCAAAAGAACGCACCATTCAACACGTTAACTTATTGAACATCCTTCGAAGAATTAGCATTACCATTATTATTATTATTATTATTATTATTATTTTCTTAAATGGCCTCTCCCATAAAAAAATTTACAATGGAACTCGTTGTTGTTGTTGTTGTTTTATCTCTTTCGATGCCACGTTGTTTTCATTTTCTTCCAAACATGTATGTATCTAGTTACGTAAAATGAAACCCTGAATCGTTTTTTATTTTTCCATTTATGAAAAAAAAAAAAAAAAAAAGAATCATCTATTGAATCTTTTTATTGAGAGAAGAAGAAAAAAACCAACAAAAATGGTTTTTATTATTATTATTATTATTATTAAAAAAAGATGTTAAATTTCAAGTGCCAGTCAAGAGGTTTATATAGTACCAAAAAAAATCAACTAAGATGATTGCTTTTTATTATTATTATTATTATTATTATTATTATTATTTACTTTTCTTTTATTTGTTTAAAAAAAAAAAAATCTTTTATTGAAAAAATACAAATAAAAGGCCGCCATTGCCGCCGCCATTTTGTGAGAAAAAAAAAAAAGTTTTAAACAATTTTTAATTAAATTTTTTGTTTTTTTTTTTAAATATTTATCGTATCGTGTGTTCGGGAGGGAAGGGATAATGATAATAATAATTATTATTTTTTTGACGTGGTCGTAGAAAAATATTTGTTTATTTAAAAAAGAAAAAAAAGGCGTTATTCTTAAACGGGTATAAAAATACAAAATGGCGGATGGTGTCATGGAGAAAAAAAAAATATTCGTTATAAACAAACGCACCGCGCACGCGCACACACGCAAGCACACACACAAATACATTATTTGTAATTAGAAAAAATTATTTATTGACTTTTTTATTTTATTTTTATTTTATTCTTCTTACACGTCAGAAAGTTTTTAAAAGCTTGAAAATGGAGAATGGTTTTTGTTTTTTTAAATGAAAATAATCATCGTAGAAAGCTTTTTTTTTTTTTTTTTTTTAAATAAACAATAATACTAAATAAAGTTTTTTTTTTTTTATTTCTTTTTATGATCTTCTGGCGCCTAAGTAATGACATTTCATTTCTTTATTTATTTATTTATTTTTTTCGTTAAACAAAATGGCGGCCGTGTTGTGTGAAATAACGAATGAAAACGAATTTTTTTTGTTTTTATTTAAATGGTGGTACCACGTGAGAGACAAATTAATAATAATTTTGGTGTTTTCGACCAAATTAAAAAAAAAAAAAATGGATGACGTTTGATTGCTTAATTGTTTCGAAAGGTCAAAGGTTACCGCCCGCGTGTGCGTGTGCGTGTGTGTGCATCGTAAATAATTAAAAATAAAGAAAATCGATGAGTTTTCCCTCAAAGATTCCGTCGAATTCGATTTTCCAAAATGGCGCGAAATTTTGAATTTTAAAGTGAACGATTTGGGGGAGAGGGAGGGGGGGGGGGAAATCAAAGAAAAGAAAAAACAAATAATAATAATAATAATAATCTTTTATCTTTTTTGTTTTGTTTTGGTTTCATTAATGCGTCTGGTAATCCACAAACCCAAAAAAAAAAAAAAATTTTTTTTTTTTTTAATGTCGGGGGGGACTCCGCAGACTTCTGGTTTTTAAATTATAAATCATCCGTTAAGAAAAGAGAGAGAGAGAGAGAGAGAGAGAGAGAGAAAGCTTTAAAAAAAAGCGTTTTTTGTTTATCAGCAAAAAGTAAAAGAGAAAAAAAAAACATAAAATAAAATTAAAATTTTTTTCGTGTTTTTTTTTTTTTTTACTTTATAACCGTCATAATTTTATTATTATTATTATTTATTATTTTTATTATTATTATTTATATTTTTTATAATGTTGTTGTAAATTGTAAGGTAAAATCTTTCCAGCAAACAAATTTCCAACATTTGCAAAAAAAAAAAAAAATTTTTTTTTTATCGATAAAATTGAGAGAGAAAATGGAAGAAAGAATGAAAGAAAAAATGAAAGAAAGACGTTAAACGAGATTATAAAAATAAACCAATAATTTTTTTTTTTTTTCTTCCACATTGTCGAAACCTTTTAAAAACGACAACAACCACAACAACAAACAACAACCATAATAATAAT